AGTTTTGTATTTTGTACATCATGTCTTCAAACTTAACTGACGTTATGTGGTGACTAGTCATTATCTGATACAGCCACAGATATCTAGTTTCCCATCACGATAATATGTTTTATGTGAAAATACTTTCCGAACTCACTCTCACAATGCCCTCTCCTCGGTAATGTCGCTGTATCGATTTTTAGTACATGGGTTGAATCACAGACGTGTCTACTATATACTTGAAAAACCAAAAACGATATTTCTAAACCAAATGCCTTTAGGAAAGAATCCTTCTGGTTTTTACCGAAGATAGAAACTCGACTCCTTCTAAAAATCCCTTTTAATTTTTTAGTCAAACAGGAAAATCCTTTTAGCTTTTAAATACTCTTTTCTCGGTTTAGGGTGGTAAAACAGTCCTTACTTGCCAAGGACTTTCACAAAGTACTTCTTAGCAATAAAAGCAAGTATTTTTATCATTGAGAAGTACTTCTGAAAGTACATGGCAAATGAAAAATTTTGAAAACACTTGTCAATTGTTCCAAGTACTTACCAAGTAGTCAAGTACACTCTCCAGGGCCATGCGCATTGAACTTTAGCAATGCGGCATCATTTCTGAAATGAAAAATCAGCATCGATGCCAGTTTGGCATCGCCGGGACACTGGTGTGCATCCACCTTTAGCGATGCTAGTGGCACATGACATGACATGCGCACCGGTGCCCATCGTCGATGCCAGTCGTCTTTTTTGAGATGCTGCATCGAAGTTTTTTTTGTAGCTAGTTTGATCTGCAAAATATGGCATAGCTTAATACATATATAAAAGGAATAAAAATTTGTCACAAACTTTTAAATAATTCGTAATTGCTGAGTTAAAGCTTTGTTGAGCCTTTATTTTAAACAAAATTTTGGCAATAGTCTACTTGTTCTAATTGTGAATATGTAAATCAATGGATTAAGAAGTAGAGACATTTTACATAAAAGTGAACAGATTGTAAGCGTCTTAGAATTATCATACGGTTTAATTGTACCATAGATCAACTTGATGAGAGAAAATATCGAATATGATGTCCAAGTAAGAATGAAAACAGTAATAACGATGATACCAGCTAATGCGAGACGTTTATCGACACGTAGACGGCATAGACGTAAGACATTTTTATATTTATTGTCTTTTACATTATTATTATTTGAATAAATTAATTTTGTAGAAAATTCAGATGCTTTGGTGCTGGTATTAACACTTTGTATTAAACGATAAAGAGTTCGGTATGTAGTCATATTCATACAAATAATTGTTACTAGTGGTAATAAGTAAATAAATATTGTTCCGATTAAAAAATAAGTACGACTACGCCATGATGAATCATTCCAATCTGGACTACAATGTAAACCCATACCTTCTGGAACATATTGATTTATACCAAATAATGGTAATATTGCCCAAACTAAGGCCATCGTCCAACAGAATAAAACAGCATACAATCCATGATGTTTAAATAGGATAGTAAAATATCGATTGTCTGTTAGTGTTAAATATCTGACAACACTCATTAGTGCAAGATGATAAACGATGGAAACCGCATTAATCACCGAACAAAAACCTTCTAATTGACATAAAAATTTAATACATAACTGACGACAAGAAAAACTTTGTATTATAATGACAGGTACTGTTATTACGGTTACTAGCATTGAGCTAAAAAACATACTTAAAACTAAATAATAATAACGACAACGAACGTACTGTTTTGTTATAAACCAATATAAAAAACGTATGTTCAATATTACACTAATTAATGAAACAATGAGTAATGTACAGCCGAATGAACGACTAATAATCGAGTCAGTTCGACTACAAATCACATATTCATCATGCAAACATTTTAATTGATAAGATTTGATTGTAATACTTAACATTATTTTGATGGAATTTGCTTGTATTGAATGCACTAACACATATGAAAAATGACGAACATTTCTTAGATGAAAGTTTTAGCAATTTATCTATAAGCGAATCGAGAATGTCATTCACTCTGAATTTAAATTTCAAATATATGATGAATAATTTTACATTACTCTAGTATTTCCTGAATAAAACGTTACATAATTATAATGAAGGATTATTCGGAATACTAATTATCTTTTTTTTCAGAAGCAGAGAATCTGTTTGATAAGCAATTAAATAGACTTAGAAAAAAATGACAGAAAAAACAAAAGAGTCCCTCAGGCACTCTCATTATTCTCCTTTTGTTCTTTAAAATTATGTGAAGAGTTTTTTTTTTAATAATACAGTTATTGTGGAAGTAACTCTTTCAAAGATTACAATCCATTTTTGAAATTACTTTTAACCGCTGTCTAGTACGTGATACTCGACTTGTACTCGATGGTCAGATACTTGTACTCATATTCAAGACTTTGTATTCAGTTACTCATATCTGTTTTTTAACAATGTTTTTACGCAGGAATGTTTCATTCAGTGGTAATGCACGTGCCGATAGGAAGAAAATGAGGAGCAGTTCAAATACTGAGCAGCCAGGCACGTGAGAAATATTAGTTTACGGCAGGTCACTGGAATCAGAAAGATTAAATGAAGAAAAGTGAATACTAGAAAATCCAATAACTCATTGACTTTTTTTGAAAAAAACCGTACTCGTACGCGAGAAAACTCTTACTCACCCAGTTCTGAAACTAATACTCACGTCTATTCGTAGGAGACCAATTTTCTGTTTTTTCTAAATAAAACATACGTCATTGATCGATCGCTGCTGAAGTAACGACTTTTCATGTTTTAGCAAGTTTTTATCAAGTTCTATCATAGGGAGGGTTTTTTTCTATATCGCATGATATTACAATATTTCAATTAAAAAAATTTCCATATTTTATCAAATAATCAAGTTATTCTGTACAAGATGGATGACTAAAGAAAAAATGAAGAAGGGTATAAGAGACACTCTAAAAATCATGTGATATGTAACGGCAGGAGTCAAAAACTCATAGAACATGATATCTCTAGGGATCGATTCTTATATAAGTATCATATCAGAAACTTATAAGCCGTTATTAAATCTTATCACATTCTAATAAGAGTCTTACTAGTTTTTCATATAAGATTGTTTAAAATTTACCATCGAAAGTGGTAAGTTTCGTATAAGAAACTGATAAGATTTTCATAAGAGGCTCATGTCGAATGCCAGCGAGAAGAAAGTCTGATTTCCAGTTTTATAGAATATTACTGTTCTTCATCGGAAGTGCACGAGTGATAGGGAAAAAAATGTAAAAAATAATAAATTACATTTAATGAGGATTCGGGATGTCTTAATCATTAGGCCATAAGTACTGTTGTTGTATTATTATAACAACTTATTTTAGGTAGGGATGAAAATTACAAGTAGAAAATAGTGCCCCATTAACTAGTTAGTACATACCAGCAAAATAACAATTTTTATATTTTAAAAAAAAAGAGTTTAACGAATACGACACATAGTCACAAGTCATCAAAATAAATGCTATGATCATATATTTTTTAAAGAATGACGATGCAAATTAATTATAACAGAAATCGACAAAATCGACTCGTAAGCTGCTTTCGAGTAGATAAAAAGGAATAAATGTGTTTTGATCACCAAAAAAGTGACTTTTGATCACCAAATTTATTGGCAGTGAAATGATCACCAAAAAATAAGACTTTTGATCACCAAATCAATTAAAGAAGTTTTAATTAAAGAAAATATATTCAAGAAGAATATATAGC